TGCTTGACTAAGGCTGACGCCAAGGCACTCACCAGCCTGGGGCAACAAGCGAACTCTCTCCAAAAAAAAAAAAACAAAAAAAAAATCTCTAAAAGAAAAAGCCCGTCCAGATGGCTTCAACCTGAATTACCATACTTACAAAGAAGAACTAGTACCCTACTGCAGAAACTATCCACAACACCGAGAAGAACGACCTCCCGACCTTTATGAGCGAATATTACTCAGATACCAAAACCAGGAAAGACAACAAAAAGAAACTACAGACCAATACCCTATGAATATAGAGCAAAAATTTCAACAATCGTAGCTAACCGAATCCACACTTATCCATAAAAATTAATCCACCAGACCAAGTGGCTTCACCCAGGGATCAGGGATGGTCACATACGTAAATCCTGAAATCAATTCACACATATAACAGAACAAAAACAGACCACATGACCTTTCCAATAGATGCACAGAAAAAGCTTGCAAAATCAACATCCCTTTCAGATACGAACAGAAGAAAATAGGCATAGAAGGGACATACCTAAAATGAACGAAGCCCATTATACAGACCCATACCAACATCAACTGAAGGGGAAAAACTGAAAGCATTCCCACTTAGAACGAACCAGACAAGGCTGCCCACTGTCTCCACTCTGTTCAACAAGTGCTGGAATCTTGCTAAGCAATCAGACAGGAAAATGGAACAAAGGTATCCAAATAGGCATGAAGAGGATCAAACTTTTTGCCCACTTGGTTTTTTTTTCGATATATATTATTGGTATCTAGAAAACCCAGGATTCAACCAAGAAACCCTGGACTGATCAATGAATAGTAAATCTCAGAACAAAATCAATACACATGAAATCAGAGGCATTCATATACGCAACAACATCTAATGAGAACAAACAAAGACTCAATTCCCTACAATAGCACAAGAAATAAAGACCTAGGAATATATTAACCAAAGAGGTAAAGACCTCACAGGGAAAACAGACACTGAGGAAGGAAAATAGCAAGGATGTAAACAGATGGAACGTCAACCATCTCGTGATCGGCAGACCAATATCATCAAATGTCTATACTACCCAAACTGATCTACAGATGCAATGCTACCAATAAAATCCCATCAACATTCTCAACGATATAGAAAAATAATTACGCTTCGTATGACCCAAAGAAGACCCCGATATCAAGACCAATTCTAGGCAACAAAAACAAAATGGGAGGCATTAATATGCCAGATATCAAACTATTGCTAATGTAAACTGCTATTCTGCCTGACTTCCTACACAGTGATGTATCAACTGTCCTAATGCCACAGACAGCCAGAGACCCACAAACATGATTTTCCAAAAGGGGCATAATTTTTTTTCAACATAAAAGGAAAGTTAATTAGGTAAAGAAAACAAGTTTTCCTCTTTACCAAGCAATGATAATCAGCTTCCTTATGTGGTTCAAGCATGTAAAGTTCTGTTGCCTAGCTGCTGCTTTCCCTAGCATGAGAAAATGATGAAATAATAAGAGAGCTGAAAAAAAAAAAAAAATAAGAGAGCTGAAAAGGGGCAAAGATTAGAAAAAAGGAAAAAAGTAGACGCATTAAAGAAGAGTCCAAAATTAAATATGAGAGATAAAAAGAATGGAAGACAAAGGACACCAGAAGAAGTTGATGCAGATTCTATTTTAGAAGGTTAATCATTCCATTAATATGTTTATGTATGTGTGTATATACATACACAATTTTCCCCTAAGTATCTTTGTGCCATATTCCTTAAAACAGAAACTTGGTAGAATCTTGTGCATTTTAAAAGTCATTAAAAATTTAAAAAATATTTAAAAATAATAAATTAAACACTGCATCAGAAAAGCAGTCTGTCCAGTTGCAGATTTTATGTCTGTTGGTAGTAAACAAGAATTTTGTGTAAAACAATCTAGAGCTTTAACTTAAAGAGGTTAAGGGTATGCTCAATCAACACCATCTTTTTGGACAAGTTCATTATGTGCCTAAAATTCACGGTTTTATCTATGCCATCTTGTACTTATCTTTATCGATTTGCAAAAATAACAAATAATAATAAGAAATCCTCTAAATTCAAAGTAATCTCAAAAGTTACTCTGACTAACATTACTTTGCTCAAATAAAAGGATAAATTTACTCTAACTGTGGAAATCTTTTTTTAAGCTTACTTTTATTAAGTTGAACCATATTAATATGGTTAATTGCCAATATATTATCATTTTTGAACGACAAAAATGGTAACAATATAGTTCAAACTGATATCCTTGAAACTGTTAGAAAATATGTAGGTTTATATTGGAAAAAGAAAGAGAACTGAAGAATAAGAGCAACTTAAGGGAATTATTTCCAGGCTCTAGCTAAAAAGAACAGTTTCCCAGGTAACAGTTTTTCACTTGACTTTGAAATAATGCCTAAAATTTGGCTAATTAAGGATTCTTCCAACCAGTTTCCTCTATTTCAAATGAAATGAATTCAGTGCAAATGAATTATATACAGAATATGAATTATGAATCATACAACATTTATTTTTTGTGAAATAAAACTTAAGTTTCAGATTACACATGGCTCAGGTAAGTTCAATAATAAATTTCTAGCAATCAGACTAGCACTCTTTATTCATTTCAGAATAAAATTGTTGTGTGTGTGGTGTGTGGCAGCAGGGAACCTTCAAATGATTAAAGAACCCTTCACCTGACAACTAAGTTGGCAGCTAGCCACAAAGGGTCAATTCTTCACGTTCAAAAATAATACTTGATGTCCTGTACTTTCAGATCAATTTTCTCAAGTAAGGACAAAGGATAGTCTTATAGCCGGGCGTGGTGGCTCACGCCTATAATCCTAGCACTTTGGGAGGCCGAGGTGGGCGGATTGCTCAAGGTCAGGAGTTCGAAACCAGCCTGAGTGAGATCCCGTCTCTACCAAAATTAGAAATAAATTAATTGACCAACTAACAATATATATACAAAAAATTAGCCGGGCATGGTGGCGCATGCCTGTAGTCCCAGCAACTTGGGAGGCTGAGGCAGTAGGATTGCTTGAGCCTAGGAGTTTGAGGTTGCTGTGAGCCAGGCTGACGCCACGGCACTCACTCTAGCCTGGGCAACAAAGTGATACTCTGTCTCAAAAAAAAAAAAAAAAAGGATAGTCTTATAGACCAGTATCTTTGGATCTAAGACTGTACCTAATTATTATAAACAGCTATAACTCCAACTATTATTAATTAGCTTCTCCTGTTAGTGACAAAGTACAATGATAATTTGACTTCATTAGCAACAACTTCCCCCCAAAAGAATCAAAATCTTTCCTTCTATATCAAATTCCATATACCTTCACACCCCATCAACATCATCATTGCCCTAACATAGTCTGCACAGAAGCTACAGGCTCAGTGCACAAAGAAATAGCAGTGGCACTTTCAGGTTTGCCTGAAAGGTATCCTTACTTCCACAGAGAACTTGGGTGTAACAAAGTACTTTAAAAACACCCAGAGATTCACTAGGGTCTTGATTGCTTAGAAAGTAAAAAAAAAAAAAAAAACACCCAGAGAGGCCAGGCGCAGGGGCTCATGTCTGTAATCCTAGCACTCTGGGAGGCCGAGGCAGATGTATCACTCAAGGTCAGGAGTTCGAAACCAGCCTGAGCAAAAGCAAGACCCTGTCTCTACTAAAAACAGAAAGAAATGAGCCAGACAACTAAAAATATATAGAAAAAATTACCTGGGCATGGTGGCACATGCCTGTGTCCCAGCTACTCGGGAGGCTGGGGCAGGAGGATCCCTTGAGCCCAGGAGTTTGAGGTTGCTGTAAGCTAGGCTGACGCCACGGAACTCTAGCCCAGGCAACAGAGTGAGACTCTGTCTCAAAAACAACAACAACAACAACAACAACACGCCCAGAGAACTCTAAATATAGTCTCTAGCTCATAATTCTTTAGTCTAAGTCTCCCTAGTTCAGATTTTATATACTATAGTCTTTGGTTCTACTCTCAAAAGATAGGAGCTTACGCCCATAGGAATTCGCCACATCTGGTTCTGTAACATCAAAACCTTTTTAAGTCACTGAGACTGGTATTTGTGGCTTCTCTGCTAAGGAGAAAGAGAAGCACTGCTCAGACTCAAAATACTATATACAAAAGAAGGTCATCTGGTTGAAGCCTATAAACTGTGGAATTGCAAAGACCTAAAAATTAGGGCTACCTGATCTAAAACGGGTCCAAAAGAAACTGAAGCATTCTTGCTGACTGAACAATTTTTCATTTCTAAGCTTGCTCTTTTTACAAAGTCTTAAGAGGTAGTTAAACCATTTCTGAAATATTCAAAAAAATAAAACATACATAGTTTATCTTTGTATGTTTTATTATGAAGTGACTTTTCTTCAATGTCAGATTTATGTTTTAGTTATCTATGTTCAGCTATCATCTTTTCGGTCATATAATCTATGAGACGATGGGTTGGGATCATGCAAATACCAATTTCCCTTTAATATTTTTTACCCAATGGGCTTAACATTCATAGATAATAACTCTCTGAATCAATTATTTCATTAGGGTAGCAAAATGGTAATTTTGTAATTCTGTCATTCCTGCTCCATTTACTAGATGGAATTCTTCCATTTAGAATTTACCAAGCAGAGCTATTTAGTTACCCTGAAGTACAACTTGCACAGGAAAAGGCAGGATAGAAACTTCTTTCCTTTTAATTTCCAATTTCAGAGTAAAGAACTGACACACTAGCTATCACCAATAGTGAAAATGATATTCTCCTTTGTGGCTTTCTCTTTTTGAGAATTTTTCAGAATTCATGGATTATTTTCATTTTCTTAAAGGAGTCTTTTTAAGCACAAAAGTTCTTAATTTTAATAAAGGTCAATTTAATATTTTTTCTTTTATGGGCCATTCTTTTGGTGTGATATGAAAGAATTTTTTTCCTAACTCAAGATTATGAAAATTTTTTCCTAAAAACATTTCTTCTAAAATTTCATAGTTTTAGTTCTAATGGGATTATGATTCATTTTGAGGCAATCTGGTATAAGGCAAGGGGCCTAAATTAATTTTTTCACTGTGGATATGCAATTGCTATATCACCATTTGTGGAAAAGACTATCCTTTCCTGATTGAATTGCCTTGGTATTTTTGTCAAAATCAATTGCCCACAAATGCAAAGTTTTGCTTTTTTTTTAGTCAAACAATTTTAATTAACTTAAAGTCAGCAGAAAAGGTGCAATTACATGAAAAGCCTCAGATTTAGCACGGTTAAACTATTTTTCACTGTCTTTACTTGTAAGGTGTTGAAGGTGGGACCCACTCCTGAATCTTCTTTCTAGTGGTGGAATACGGTACATACTGCTGTGGGATGCCAGTCACGTTGAATTTATGGTTTGTCCAAATGAATTTACGAGCAATAGGTAGTTTTGTTGTTGGAGGATCATCAGTCATACAGTGAAGCCAACGATGCCATTCTGGAGGCACCATGCTTCCGTCCATGTCCCAGAATGTATTTTTGCCATTCATTTCAGTAGTAGATATAACCCACCGGTGACGGCCAAAAAATTGCTTGTTGTCTTCATAGTATTTGTTTCCATATTTGTCTTCCCCTACTAATGTACCAACCCTCACATCATTTGCCCTGAATAAAACTCGTAGATAGCCGCGGAGGCCGCCGTGACCGCTGACCTGCTGCAGCCCGTGCTTCAGAACCTCCAGTAACTCCATCTTGTCCTGGATCAGTTTTGCTTTTTGACTCCTGATTCTGTTGCATTGATTTATATATCTATCCTTACCTTTTTTTTTTTTTTTTTTTTAAAGACAGGGTACCAGGCTGAAGTACAGTGGCGCATTCACAGCTTACCATAACCTCCAACTCCTGGGCTCAAGCAATCCTCCTGCCTCAGCCTTCTAAGTGGCTAGGACTACGGGCTATATTCAGGAGACGAGATCCTTGTTTGGCCTTATTATCAGAGTAATACTGGCCCCACAAAATGAGCTGGGATGTGTATCTTTCTCTCTATATTGGAAATGTTTGTGGAGTACTGGCTCTCTGGGTAAGTCGGAAAATGTACTCTAACTCTGTTAATCTTTTATTTTCTGAATTTGCAAGTTCTCACAATCAATCAAAGATGAGTACACAACTAAGGTTTTCTCTTTAACTTGAGCAGGTGCAGAGCCTTAAACATACACACAGCCTTCCAAAACATCAGGAATATAGAGGAGTTCATTAAGACTCACTAAAGCTGTCTCATTTCCTGAACCACCCTATTAAGTTTCCGGCTGGTCTGTGGCTTGCCCCATCCAGGATCACATTCTCAGGCATCTATGATATTAGACTTCCCTAATTCTTCACCACTGAAGTCACTATTATTCAACAATGCCTGTGGGCATGGGGCTTGTTCTCTCCAAATCAATCCAATATTGTTCTCCCAGCCTGCCCAGCCCTGGTTGAACTACTACATCGAGGAGCTGAGAAGCAGGTGAAGGAAAATAGTAGCAGTCCCGGGCCAAGGCACCACAGATACTGTTCTGACAAAGGATCAGTTATCTTTCTTGATAATCACTTTTCAACTTAATGTATACCTATTATCAATTCCAGAGTCTCAAAATGGTAGTTTTTGACAATTCAGTCCCAATTTTATCATTTCTTTTTATCATTTGCCTAGCTCCTTACTCCACCATGCAATATGTCCTGCTCCTAATTACATTATTTTTAGAAATTGCTTCCATTTTTTTCTTTTTTTTTTAATTTTAAAATATGAAAGGATGGGGGGTTGTGCAGATGGGTGTTTAGTTGCCTTGTTTTTTTTTTTTTTTGCTGTTGTTGTTGTTGTTGAGACAGAGTCTCACTCCACTGCCCTGGGTAGAGTGCATTGGCTTCATTGTAGCTCACTGCAACCTTCAACTTCTGGGCTCAAGTGGTCCTTCTGCCTCTGCCTCCCGGGTAACTAAGATTACAGGCATGCACCAATTTCTTTTTGGTAGAGATGGGTTCTCACTCTTGCTCCGGCTAGTCTCAAACTACTGAGCTCAAGCATTCCTCCCACCTTGGCTTCTCAAAATGCTAGAATTACAGGCATGAGCCATGATGCCACCTGGCCCCATTTTTCCTTGCATTTTGACTTTCCTTACCATACTGTAAATTTGCTACTTTACCTAAAATTACAATCTAAAATTTAAAAACATGAGGGAGAAATATCAAAATCATATTTCTCAAATACAGACGGTCCCTAACTTACAATGCCTTGACTTGTAATTTTTCAGCTTTACAATAGTGCAAAAGCAGTATGTATTCAGTAGAAACCGTATTTCACATATCCATACAACCACTCTTTTTCACGTTCAGTATTCAATATATTACACGAGATATTCAACATTTGTGTTAGATGATTTTGCCCAACTGTAGGCTAATGTAAGCATGCTGAGCACATATAAGGTATACTAGGCTAAGCTATGAGGTTTGGCAGCTTAGGTCTGTCAAATGTATTTGCAATTTATATTTTCAACTGACCAATGGTTTAATAGGATGTAACTCCATTGTAAGTAGAGAAGCAACTGTGTATCTTTTCTCTGTACACCATGTTCAGACCTCCCTCACAGAGCAAGCAGTTTGATCTAAGTATCGTTTGTCTGTCTATATGATCAATATATTTTTACATGTCAGTTTCAAAATACAAAGCATTGGCCGGGCGCAGTGGCTCACGCCTGTAATCCTAGCACTCTGGAAGGCCAAGGCGGGTGGATTGCTCGAGGTCAGGAGTTCGAAACCAGCTTGAGGAAGAGCGAGACCTTGTCTCTACTATAAATAGAAATAAATTAATTGGCCAACTAATGTATATAGAAAAAAAAAATTAGCCGGGCATGGTGGTGCATGCCTGTAGTCCCAGCTACTCGGGAGGCTGAGGCAGAAGGATTGCTTGAGCCCAAGAGTTTGAGGTTGCTGTGAGCTAGGTTGACACCACAGGACTCACTCTAGCCTTGGCAACAAAGCAAGACTTTGTCTCAAAAAAAAAAAAAATACAAAGCATTAACTCAATTTTCAAAGATCTAGTATTAGTTTCAGAGTACAAAGAAACAAATTATAGCATGAATGAGATGGGCTCAAAATCTTGAAGTTGTTTTTTTTTTTTTTTCTTCAGAAAGAGTCTCACTCTGTTGCCCCGGCTAGAGTGCTGTGATGTCTGCCTAGCTCACAGCAACCTCAAATTCCTGAGCTCAAATGATCTGCCCGCCTTGGTTTCCCAGAGAGCTAGGATTACAGGCGTGAGCCACCATGCCCAGCCTTTTTTCTTTTTTCTATTTTATTTTAAAGAGAGACAGGATCTTGCTTCATAGCCTAGGCTAGAGTATAGTGGCCCAATCATAGCTCACAGCTAGCACTAAAGGTGTGCACCACCATGCCATTAATTTTTCTTATTCTTTTAAAGATGGGATCTCACTGTGTTGCCCCTGCTGGTTTCGCACTTCTGGCTTCAAGTGATCCTCCCACCTCAGACTCCCAAAAGGCTGGAATTGCAGGTGTGAGACACTGCACCCAGCCTGCGATTGCATTTATAACTGCTCTTTATTATGTTGAAGCTCCCTTCACTTCTTAGTGTGTGTGATGTATGTTTTTATCAAGAAAGGCTGCTGGATTTTGTCAAATGCTTTTTATGTGTTTATTGAAATGATCATGTGATTTTGTATTTTCTTCTTCTTTTTTTTGAGACAGAGTCTCACTCTGTGGCCCAAGCTAGAGTGCCGTGGCATCAGCCTAGCTCACAGCAACCTCAAACTCCTGGGCTCAAGCAATCCTCCTGCTTCAGCCTCCCGAGTAGCTGGGACTACAGGCATGCGCCACCATGCCTAGCTAATTTTATATATATATATATTTTTAGTTGGCCAATTAATTTCTTTCTAGTTTTAGTAGACAGGGTGTTGCTATTGCTCAGGCTGGTTTTGAACTCCTGATCTTGAGCGATCCTCCCACCTCAGCCTCCCAGAGTGCTAGGATTACAGGCATGAGCCACCACGCCCGGCCTGTACTTTCTTCTATTCACAGTGTATTATATTGATTGCTTTTTGTATGTTGAACCAATACTTTGCAATCCTGAAATAAATACCATTTTGTTAAATAGTGTATAATCCCTTTTTTTACATGGTGCTTGAGTCAGTTTGGTGGTACTTTTTTGAGGATTTGTATCTATATTCATAAGGGATATTGGTCTGTAGTTCTCTTTAATGTTGATGTCTTTGTCTAGGATGGGTATTAGAGTAATACTGACCTCATAAAGTGAGTTATGATGTGTTCTCTTCTATTTTTTAGAAGTGTTTATAAAGCATTAGTGTTCTTTAAATGTTTCATAGAATTGACCAAAGAAACAATCTGGTACTGGGATTTTCTTTGTGGGAAGTTTTCTGATTACTAATTCTTTCTACTTAGTATAGGTAGATTCAGATTTTGTTCTTGAGTTAGTTTCCATAGTTTGTGTCTTTCTTGAAATTTGTCCATTTTATCTAGATTATCTGATTTATTAGCATATAATTGTTCATAACATTCCATTATAATCCTTTCTATTTGTGTATAGTTGGTAGTAATGTCATCTCTTTCACTCCTGATTTTAGCATATGAGTCTTCCCTCTTTTTTTCTTGATTAGTCAAGCTTAAAGTTAGTAAATTTTGTTGATCGTTTTGGTTTTACTGATTTTCTTCACTGTTTTTCTGGTCTCTCTTTCATGTATTTCTGTTCTAACCTTTATTAGCTTCTGTATTAAGTATGTCTTTTTATTTCCTGTATTTCTGATGCTTTGACATCAGGGGCATTGCTGACACTGAAGAGACTGCCCTTCCCCGGGTTTGCCTTTTTCTTAGAGATAGTAAACTCACCTATGAGCCTAACTTTCATAAGCAAACCAACCAATCCAAAGCCAATACCCCAGCACCTTCTCTATCACAGTGAGGGCCACTATTATACTGCCCTAATCAACTGGGCTATGTATCAAGATAACTAGTAACAGCCCCTCCACCCCAGAACCACTGAAATTATTCAAACTACCTAATCCTAAACCTGTTTACCCTGTCTTGCCTATTCCTTCCCATGGAAACCACAATAAAGGCTCTTGTCCACATTTCTCCAACCTTCTGCCTCCTGACTGACCTGGGTGCTTCCCTATGTGGCCTCCCATGACACACCATACCCACCTTTTCTTGGGATCTGTGAGTTTGGGTTTTTTTTTTTGAGAGCAAGTTTCACTCTGTTGCCCAGGCTAGAGTGCCATGGCATCAGCCTAGCTCACAGCAACCTCAAACTCCTGGGCTCAAGCGATCCTCCTGCCTCAGCCTCCCAAGTAGCTGGGACTATAGGCATGCACACCATGCCCGGCTAATTTTTTTTTTCTATATACATTAGTTGGCCAATTAATTTCTTTCTATTTATAGTAGAGACCGGGTCTCACTCTTGCTCAGGCTGGTTTCAAACTTCTGACCTCGAGCAATCCGCCCGCCTCGGCCTCCCAGAGTGCTACGATTACAGGCGTGAGCCACCGCGCCCGGCCTAACAAACTATCTTTTCAATGGCAATCATCTCCTGATCTATTGGCCTCACCATACCCAAACAATAGTAAAATCTAAATTTTAAAATAGCTTCATCCTTCTGCTTGCTTTCGGTTTAGTTTACTTTATTCTAGTTTCTTAAGATGGAAGGTTATTAATTTAAAGTCATTCTTCTTTTCTAGGCGTCCTCAAACTACAGCCCGCGGGCCATATGCAGGTGTTTTTGCCCCTTTTTTTAAAAATTTTACTTCAAAATAAGATATGTGCAG